CGTTACCGTGATCATTTTCTACTAAGAATGCATTCGTTTTTGTTTTTACTTCTTTTAGAATATACTTTTCGTTATCAAAAAAAATAAGAAAATAAATATATATTACATTAAATATTAAATATTTTTTTTTTTTATCATGCGAACATTTTTTTTTTGATTGACTTTTTTTATTTCTTTATTTTAATTTCCCCGACGTTTAAATTGAACATGGAATGTACAGTCACTCTGCCGAAAGTCGAACATGCCAGTAGTCGAACGCAATCGACTGTGTCAGACCGGTGCTAACGAATTAGTCTATTCAAGAGATTGTATCTATTTGTAGATATTATTTATTTTGCAGTATGTTATACAGTGTGAAATTTCGTTTGTGTACAAGTACAAGTTTGTCTGTGTATAAAAATTCGAAAGTGCGCTTAGAATCGCAACAAAGTTGAAATCGAGTGTTGTGCATCTCATTAGCATATCATTATCCCTTCTGGCCTTTGTTTTTTTTACAAAATTTCCCACTGTTACCGAAGTGAATGCTCTAATTAAAGCCGCACCAACACTTCACGCATCTGAATTCGTCCATTGAAAAAATGAATTTTAATTAAAGCCCCGGCCTCAATTAGGAATTTTACGGTAGAACACATTATCTAAATGATAAAATTGTGAATTTAAAACCCACTGAATATGCCTGAAATGGTAAATCGGCGAAATTTACATCCAGTGAAAATTGTCATTTTACAGTAACAGCATTGGCAGGTGATGTGTTAACATTTAATTAACAGCTGAAGCATCATTTTTAATGATCATAAATTTTTCAAATTTGGCCCTCAATTGCGAAAAAAAAATGCTCATATTTATTAAGTGTACTGGTAACAAAAGAAACATACCACCACACGATACTTACGTTACTTTATTCAGTGGAAAAGCTTGATGTTTCATGAGTATCTTAGATGCATGGTGTACTTTATCAAAACATACTCCACACATGTTACATTCACATTTGATACAGTGTGCTGTGGCTGCTTTCTTACCACACTCATCACACATGTCATCTGGTGACACTCCTGAAATAATACACAGTTACACAATAGGTAAGAGTCAAACCAACCTAAGCCCAGAAAAAAAAAAAATTCTCTGTTTCTCGTTTCATAGAAATTTTAAAAGAGGTGGCGAGACGATTTTTTTTTTTTTTTTTTTGAATACTGAGCTAAAATGGGGGAAATTTGAGACAAGTACGTGCGCGTACAAGCGCATTTTTGAATGCTTTAGAAGGGGGAAAAAAAAAGTTTGAGCGCATTGTTCAAAATGATGCGCATGGAGATGAGAAACGGCGATATTTTTCTTTTCAGTCTAAACTGGACACCAATAATACTTAGTTAATACAGCTACCGATGTTACAATGGGTTCAGACAGAATGTTTATCTGTTTAGACAAGTTTACCTGGTTTACAATGGGCACCAGTTTTTTAAAATTTCCTGGTTTACAGTGGGTGCCAGTTTTCACAAGTTTCTCGGGATAAATGGGCACCATTCAATTTTAAAATTTCCTGGTTTACAGTGGGTGCCAGTTTTCACAAGTTTCTCGGTGTAAATGGGCACCAGTTATTACAAGTTTCCTGGTTTACAATGGCCACCAGTTATTACAAGTTTCCTGGTTTACAGTGGGTGCCAGTTTTCACAAGTTTCTCTGTGTAAATGGGTGCCAGTTATTAAAAGTTTTCTGGTTTACAATGGCCACCAGTTATTACAAGTTTCCTGGTTTACAGTGGGTGCCAGTTTTCAAAAGTTTCTCGGTGTAAATGGGTGCCAGTTATTAAAAGTTTTCTGGTTTACAATGGCCACCAGTTATTACAAGTTTCCTGGTTTACAGTGGGTGCCAGTTTTCACAAGTTTCTTGGTGTAAATGGGCGCCAGTTATTACAAGTTTCCTGGTTTACAATGG